AAAAAATTAAACTCACCAAAATTATATAATTTTTTCTTAGTGTAAAATGTTGTTTGCGGCCATTTTGTAGTATGTAAAAAAGAATAATATGCGTTTCCAGCTTTTAATTCATAAAAACATTTCTGTAAATATTACACTTGTGCGCAAATAAATTGTATACGTGGGTTATTTGCAAGTCTGTCGCTCCCCAGCTGCTTCGTATTTGTTTGTAACGGTTTTTTAGAGCGGTTAGCTCTCTGTCAGCATAGAAATGCAAATATTTTTCAATTTATTCACTATTCTCGGTAAACTGGGTTTTTGCTTGGAAATTGTTTAATTTTTAATTGGTTTTGCCTTTATCTGCAATTTTACTTTTATCGTAAAATTTATTTTTTTAGTTTTTAATTTTTGGGTTTGGCTTTTTTTTCTAAATTAATATCTTATTTTTGTGTAAAACAAATATGTATAATTTAAATTTGTTTCATTCTCTTTCAATATTTTTCGTATTTTGTTTCCTTTTTTTTGTTGTTTTACCACCTCATTATGTATCGTATGTATATAAGTAATAATGCTTAATTTAAATGCATTTGCATTTTTTTAATTTTTTAATTTTCATTTTATTTCTTTTAATTTTAATAAAATTTAAATTTACTCGGTCACGCTCGCTCTGTGAACTCGCCGCGCCTGCATGCAAAACCACAGCCACAGAGAGCCGACATACCGCCACGTGAGTGGGTGTGTATGTGGCTCGAGTCCTTCTCGTTTCGTCTCATCGTGTCTCGGCTGCCGATTTGGGTCCATTTAACTGCTTGCTTTACTTTTACGGTATGTGTGTATGTATGATATAAGTTTACTGCCTCCTATTTTCATTTCAATAATTTTTAATTTTTAATTAATAATTATTATTTTGTTTTTGTTTTTGGTATGTAATTGCAACTCTTCATGTTTTTTAGCAACTCTTAATGTATATATATATATATTTATATATATACTTATGTATATATATATGGTATATAAGTCTGTCTTTTAATTTAATTTACTTTTTAAACTTATTAATGTGTTGTTGTTTTTCTTCAGTATTTACTATTTTGCTTTGTTGTAATCAAATTTTGGAGATCTCTATAAATAAGTTTGTGTCTTGTCTCTTGTTTTGTTTTGGTTTTAAGGGTTCACACTTTTATTAATTGTTTTTGTAATGTCACTTTTGCTGTAGCTATGTATTTGTTGATTAATTTTATTTAACTTTTTAAGTCTGGTTTAATTAAATTTAATTTTACTTGCTATTTTTTGCTTTTCTTTTCATCTCTCTTTTTTATCGGTTTTACTGTTATCTATTATTCGTTTTACTTCGTGGTTTTGTTGTATATGTGGTTGTTGTTGTGATTCTCTGTATGAAATCTGTCAGTTAGTAGTGTTTTTGTTGCTGTTTGATTTTAAAAATGAACTGCTCTCTGCATCTTCTTCCTGCGCTTTTGTGCATTCATTTTTGTTTTTGTTGTTGTTTGTGTTTGTGGCGTTGTTGCATGCGTTTTTATGTGTGTTTTGCATTATGTTTCAACGAAAATAGTTGTTGTTTTTGCTTTTGTTTTTGAATTCAAATTGAAACAGTTCGCTGGGTTGTTAGTGTGTTGTTGGAGAATTAGGCGCGTGCTTTGCGTACACCTGCAATGAGAGAGAGGAAATAGAGAAAACATGAGAAAATTTTATTTTATTTCAAAAGAGTATAAGAATTTTTCCTGTGAGCCAAGTGCTCTGGAGATCCTAAAATCACGAAATCAATAACGAATTCTGCAAACTGGTTTCGAAGTAATATACGATTCCTATTTCCTATGCTAAGCGAAACAAAACTACAGAGTCACCCGAGATGTGGTTTTACGAATATGTGCTCAAAACTGTGCAAAAATCTAACGAATATCGCTCCAAAAATGAACCGAAACGGAAAAGACCCAGAGGATGCTTATAGCATGTGCCTTTTTAGAAAAGGATAATAAATATTTACATTAAAATACATAAAATTTTAATTTTTTTTTTGTTAGTCTGGTTTACACTTGATCATATCGAATAGATTCTTAAACTATCTTAAACAGACAACCAAACTAACTGATAAGTACTTATCAGCCCTTTACCTACATTTCATACCTACCACACAGCTCAAATTTGATGGAAGGTTCAACGAATATCCTAATCAGCTATTTATTTATTTTTCAAGAACCCCTTGAGGTTCGTTCGTACAAAAATGCTAGTGATCTTGAGGCATAGTGCAGATTTGATTTAAAAGTCAATGGTACAGAGTAACCCTCAATGACTGGGTCGGAAAGAACATTGTTATCAGCTAAATACTGATCTTGAAGTCGATAGATTCAGAGAATGTTGACATCTAGAGCTCAGAAATGCGATTTGTGAATTTTTTTTACATTATTAAAGTATTAGAGCCCAGAGTTCTTTGGAGTTTTTACGTATATATGTATGTCGGCAGTTTTCTAAGGCGATTATAGTTTTGTTCGCCTGTGGATCTCTGTTGATTATTTAAACAAGAGTGGCCTTAGGTTTTGTACGAGATAAGACTTTCTATTTATACAAAATCTATCTTAGCCATACACAGAGTTGATATAGAACACCTAACATTAATATCTCCAGTAAACAAATTATGTTGATGCCAACAGAGGACCCCCGACGCTTTCTTATTACAATTCTAAACTCTAAACAAACTTTTTAAACTGAATTCGTAAATATTTTTCCAAAAGTAACTCCCTTTTGAAATATTAAGGAATTTGCTGAGCACCAACAAGGGTTCGACTGTTAGCACTTTGCTGCCAGCCACACCTTGACGCGGAAAGCGACAGTCAAAAATAACTTCACGATGATTGCCTGTACATGCTCATTCTCTTATGAAGTTCATGTTTCAGACGTTTATTTACCAAATACGCTGGCTATAACGGAACAAATATTTAAGAAAGGGTAGAGGGCAAGTGGCAGAGCGGCGCTCAAATTGAGTTGATTAGTTTCTGGTGTGAGATTGTTGATAAAAAAGGGAACCGTTATAAAAGCAATAATAACCCGAAGTTCTTGTTGATTAGGGAAAACGCGGCAGGGATTCAGACGAACCTTGCGTAACGGTACAAAGCGTTAGAGGACAGCGCAAACTTGCCCGCTGTTACTTAATAATGCAAAATTGTTCGTGAAAATAACGCAGATAAGACAGCGTTCAATTAATTTGTAAACTCATTTCTCGCTTTTTCTTTGTACAAAGTATCATAAGCAGGAACGCTCCCAAGGAACTCCTGTCATATTGTGGGTGGTGTGGAAAAATAAAAAAAGGACAAAAATAAAATATGACAAAGTGTAATCGAAGCTCAGTTGGGTGTATCTTTGGCTAGACAATGTTTGACAAAGAGAATACAAATAAAAGCGCCGTGGGGGTTTCACTCAATGAATTTTACTGTCTGGCTTTTCATAAACGAGTTCAACGCTGGAATGACTTTATATTCGTTTTTACTTTGAGGGATAAGTAGAAAGAGGAAATACTAAAAAAATTTGAAAAATGCTATCATTATACCCTGAACGGTGTATATTAAATTGACCATATAGTTAGTACCATCCAGCAGGAAAAGTCGGAGACCCTGTAACGAATATTATAATGATCAGATTCACGAGTTGAGTTGACTGATTGAGAACTTGACTAACTAAGTTCTTCTGTCTCTCCGCACGTCTGCTTCTATATGCAAACAGCGCCTCTTCGAGCTGTCGATCTTAAATTTAGCACTCACTTTTCGGAACCGCCGTTCTCGTACCAATAGAACATATTTTTATCATACAAACCGATCGATAAAAATCAAGCCATAGCCAGGTTTCATAAAACAGCTCGAGCTTTTCACCTAAAGTTCGTTCCAAGTAATGTGAATCTGAAAATCTTCTCCCATCTACTACGTTATAAGAGTCAACAGCCAGTTCTATATTTAAAACAGCGAATGGAACCAAGCAACCAAGGAGCCAATCAACACATCGTTCTCTATTATGAAATGTAAATATAACCGAAATTGGTTCCAAGGACAGCTTGAAGAAGGCTGACTAGCAACGTCGAAAGAACCAGAGCATGTAGTGTTTCTCATTTGCTGGCTGGAGCTTGAAATCAAGGGAATGAGCCACACTAAGGCCCTAATGTTATGAATGAGATACAGTTGGAGTTTGCTATATCTATAAAAAGGAGAGACCTTGAAGGAATCTCTGTTGAATTTCAAAGCTTGCTTTACTTGAAAATGAACTATGGACTGCGATGTGAGTCTGTGATATATGATGTCTTCCGCTGATCTGATAATATAAGAATAGAAGTAATGAAAGACTAAAGACAGTAAAGTTTGTACTACTACTTCTTTATATTGCAACTGATCAAGTTTCTCTTTCTTTTCTCAGACTTTTGAACCTGCTGCTTTTTTGAAGTTCATTGACATGTGTGGTATATTATCAAGCTTGGTTCCGGACTTATCGGCAAAACTATGTAATTTTTCCCGCCTTTGAGTGGGTTACGATGACTTCCGCGATTCATATAAAACGAATGCGCTTTAAGTATTTTTGCGGTGCATTTTCTATGACCGAAACTAGTCTAAGTATAAACTCAAAACTCTACTCTTACCAGCTAAGTCTGGGAATTGCCAGATACTTTCAAGTAATCTATGTTCCTTTCACTAACTTTGTGTTAGCCATATTTCTTTTGCTTTTTCACGGTCCTTTTAACTGAGATCTACTCAGCCACTGTAAACTTCACGGGTTATACACTTACATGTATGTACAAACCAATACATTTATTAATGCTTAAGCAGACATATCCCTAAGAGAATTGCAAAGGACACTTGCTTTGCGGTCAAAGGATAATAATTTACATCGCTGCTTAGGGTCAGCATTGCATGGAATTAGTTAATTTAAATTGGCAATTAATTTGAGCGAATCGAAAGCGACGTACTAACACATATTGAACAGATGGAGCAGAAGCTCGTTAGAGATATTGCTTGTTGCTCTTTGTTTTCTGGAAGACTGATTTAAGAGGTTATGTGTATATGTCTGTTAAGTATACAACTATTTGTATTTTTATATGAGTAATGGGTTATTATATTGTCCTTTGCGATATTAAAGGAAGTAAGTGTGAAAAATGATATGTAGTTAGGTGAGAGCATCTCAAAGTATTCCACACGGTAAATTAGAACATGGTGTGTCCATAGATCTGTCTGGCACTGTCTCTTTAGAGCTTATGGGTTTTTGAGCTCAGGGCCAACGAGACAACCAAACAAGCATGGAGGGGCTAAGTTCGATTACAGCCGAACATTTTATATCTTTGTAACTTGCATGACACAAAGCAGGGAAATACCATTGAGTTTCAATTATATATGTCTCTCCACTGCATTATGCACTTGTTCCTTCCATGAGATGCGTCCTCGTCAGTGCTTTCGTAATCCTCATGGATCTCGAAGCAGTTTTTCGCAGAGCATCGTCTTCTATGTATGCCTACGACGTGGCCTAAGCAAGGCGCTAGCAATCCTTATGTGTGACCTCTTATTACTTTGTCTTATTCCTATTCACCAGAAGGACAAGTTTTATATAGATTTAAAGCATTAGTGACATTATTAAATTATTGCTACTGAAGCCATAAAAAACAATGAGGCCTTATTTTTAAGCTCAGACCGAGGTCTCATACCAAAGATATAGCACCTGAATGTTGCAAAAACCGACTTCACGTACAAGCAGATTGCCTCAAAGGTCTGTCGCTATCATATATTATGTTGGGTTGAAAAAAAAGTCTTGCGGTATTTTCGCTAGTTGGCGCTGAGAGCGCGTAGTTCTAGTTTTATTTGTCGCATCGGGTCAGGCTATACCTTTTTGGAAAGCTCATTTCACGCGATAACACGTGTTTGATTGATTGTCGTTTCCTTTAAGTCGTTCGTGAGTTACAGCGTCGCAAACATGGAGCAAAATAAAGAGAAAATACGGCATATTTTACAATACTACTACGATAAAGGCAAAAATGCATCTCAAGCCGCCAATAAAATTTGTGCAGTTTATGGACCCGATACAGTTTCCATTTCCACCGCACAACGGTGGTTTCAACGTTTTCGTTCTGGTGTAGAGGTGATCGAAAATGCGCCACGCTCCGGAAGGCCTGTCGTCGAAAATTGCGATAAAATCGCTGAATTGGTCGAAAGAGACCGGGTCGAAATAGAGTAGCAGCCGTAGCATCGGTCAAGAGCTGGCCATGAGTCATCAAAAAAAATGTTATGAATAATTGAAAATTAAATAAAAAAATACCGCAAGACTTTTTTGACAACCTATTATATAAATATAGTATGTATTACTCATTAATCATATTGAGCCACACTCACCTTTATCCTTATTCTTACGCTGTTCCTTGGCGCTCTTATCCTTGGATTTGCCGGGTTTGCAATTCTTCTTGATGACACGTGTTGCTTCGCACGATGGATCGCTGGTCGCCTTTAATTTGTCAGCGCGTGTCATTTGACCGGTGGCACACTCAGACCAGGAACCCTTCTCATATCGGCAGGCTGCACGCACCACGGATTAATACGAAGCGCATGTAAAGAGAAGGAGAAAAATAAAGGCATAAGCTTTCGGTATAATATTGCCAGGCGATGTAAGCAAGAGGAGATTAATTAGAATAATTACATACATTAATATAAACGAATGCTGCAGTAAAGATAAGCGCGTGTGTTTCTAACTGATGGCATAAATTGGCAACTCGATAATATTATACATATTTACATACATGTACATATATATGTCTATCTGTTAGTTATTGTCTAGGCAATTATACAAATAAATTGCAAGAAGAGTATCGAGTCACTAATTGAATTCGGGTAGCAGCACTAAGCACTTATGTACACATACTTAGGTATATGTATTGGGAAATTGCTAATCATTACTATCATTATCACTGCTATATACTAAGTAATTAGGCTAAATTTCTTCGATTACCACTTTGCCGCATTAAATAGTAGATAAGTAAAAAAACCATAAATGTTATCTTCTTTGGAGTGGTTTCAAGTGAATATATAGCCTAGGCATCTGATAAATTTGTGAATAAAGTTTGCTATTTGAACGGCTTTAAACTTTTTTTTTTTTTTTTTTTTTTTTTTTTTTTTTTTTTTTTTTTTTTTTTTTTTTTTTTTTTTTTTTTTTTTTTTTTTTTTTTTTTTTGCAGAAATACACCTCTAGGTACGAAATTGACTACATAGGTCGGAAACTCAGCTCGAACCTGGCTTTTTCGAATTGGTAAAGATTAGAGTTTGGCGCAGACACCGCTTACACCAAGCGAAGGCAGGCCCTTCTCCACCTGGTCTCTCCAACGGAGTGGAAGTCTTCCTCTTTCTTTGCTTGCCCCGGTGGGTATTGCGTCGAATACTTTCACAGTTAGAGTGTTTTCGTCCATTCAAACGACATGACCGAGCCAGCATAACTGATACTTTTTAATTCGCTGAACTATATCCATAACGCCATATATCTCGTACAGCTCATCGCAGTTAATGCGCTCGAAACCTCTCAACACCCACTCGTCAGATTATGGGCGGTGACACCATATAGCAGAACGGGAATAATGAGTGACTTATAGAGTTTGATTTCTCTTCATAGAGAGGTCTTTACTTCTCAATTGACTACTCTGTTTGAAGAAGCACCTATTGGCAGAGTTATTCTACGTTGGATTTCGAGACTGACATTGTTGTTGCTGTAAATACTGGTTCGAAAATGGATGAAATTACATACGACTTCGAAGTTATGTCTGCCAATAGTCGCGTAAATGCCAAGTCGCTAGTGCGATGGCTGTTTGTTTGGAGACAGCAGATATTTTGTCTTTCTCGCATTCACTTCCAGATTCATTTGCTTCACTTCCTTATCCATTCTAAAGAAAGCAGAAGCTAAGACGCGCTTGTTGAGGCCAATGATATCAATATCATCAGCTGTAACTCTTATAGAAGATGGTACCTTCTCTATTTAGTTCTGCACTTCGAACTATTTTCTCCAAGGGTAGATTGAAGAAGTCACACGATAGCGAGTCGCCTTGTTGAAGCCTCGTTTGGTATTGAACGGCTCGGAGAGGTCCTTTCCGATCCTGACAGAGCATCTGCTATTGCTTAAGGTCAGCTTTCACAGCCATATTAGTTTTTCTGGGATACCAAATTCAAATATCGCGGCATAAAGGCAGATCCTTTTCGCGCTGGCAAAAGCACGGGTCTCAAGATTTGGTGTATGGTGAATATCTGGTCAGTGTTGATTTTCCAGGCCTTAAGCTACACTGATAAGATCCAATCAGTTTTTTGACGAATATGAATAAATGTTGAGAATGCGCTCAATTGAAATTTATATTATATGCAATGTTGGGGATGCTTATCCCGCGGTAGTTGGCGCAGATTGTGGTGTCTCCCTTTTTTTTTTTGGATTGGGCAGAACACACTTCAATACCAATCATTGGGCATACCGACCATATTTTACAAAGAAGCTGATGCACGTTCCATATCACTTCTTCGCCACAGTGTTTGAATAGCTCAGCCCCGCCACTTTGTTGTTCTTCAGACGAGTAATTGCTATTCGAACTTCTTCATGGTGAGGCCATGGAACGTCTGCTTCTTCGTCATCGATCGGGGCTATCGGCTTCGCTATCACCTGGTGTTATGCTTTCACTGCCATTCAGCAGGCTAGAGAAGTGTTCCCTCCATAATTTTAGTATGTTCTGTGCATCAGTCTCTAGGTCAGTTTCGGAGTTTCTAATGCTTAATATGTACGCTCTGTTAATCGTCGCATCTTTTTGTATAATTTGCGAGCATTAGCTCTGTCGGTCAGCTTGTGAAGTTCTTCGTACTCACGCATTTTGGCCGTTTTCTGTTTTGTCTGCAAATGCGTCTCGCTTCCCTCTTTAACTCGGTATCTATCTCATTCCACACGTGTTGTGGTCAATCGTAATGTTGCGAGGTAGGCAGTCTGTTTTCTCTCCATTGCGACACGGCACTCCTCGTCGTACCAGCTGTTCTTTTGCACTTTTCGAAAAGCAATGGTTTCTGGAGTTTAAAAACGATGCTTACAATCGAAAAATATGAAGCAAAAATCGGAATCGAGACTTAATGCTTTAAAAATATTTCCATCCCTGATTTGAGTGCAATTTCTTGCACGGATTTCCACGGTCCAAGATGTAGAGTCAGCATATTTAAACATCATGGTTTGAGAAGTTCTGGTTCTCATCGATAGAGCAGATTTTTAACTGCATTCTCGGGTTTTAATAGAGTCCGAACTCTAAAGGTGAACTGAGACAATTTTCTTGTTGTTTTTGTTTTTTGTCAGTTCGGCTTATATTTGATTATATGTTAAACCTTAGGAAAGTGGCGGCAGTATAGGCTATACCAAAGCTTTACTATTTGCTCTATAAGAAAGGCGTCTAGAAGTCAATTTGTAGCCAACTTTTTCGTGTTCACTATAAAATAAATTGCTTTCGTTTTTTTACTCCAAATTAACTCGTTGAGAAGTTGCCATTAACAGTACTTCGCTTACGACTTTTTTATTGCTCTTTAAAGCAACAATTTCCACTAAAATTAACTTTTTAAGACCACATTTGGCGCTCTTAAAAGTAGTGAAACATTGTGCCATAACTGACCACAGGCTGCTCGGTCATACGAAAAAGCGAGCTCTCCTCCCGCCACCAACCGCCGCCTCGCTTATCAATGTGAAGAATCTACAATAAACCACCGCAAAATAGACCATTTGTGACTACTTAAATGACCTGCAGGCGCAATAACACATACAATGCAACAACAAAGGCAGCAACGACAACGACAACAAACAAATGGAAATACGCTGAACAACAATGGCAAGAGGTAATATAAAACCGTAGGCCATTTGTGGCAGTCAAGTTTTTGACTATGGTCGTAAATTCTCGTAAATTCATACGAACAACAATGTTACTACGAAATTGGCTGCTTCCCGGTGTATGTGTTTGTGTGCGTAACTGAGCGCATAAACAAAAGTGCGTCTGATTGTGCAAGTAAATGAATACCGATATGGTACTATGTATTGTATATACTATATATATGTAGGGCTGTGAGCCTATATTTGAATGTTACGAGGCGTATGCTGTGAAATTAATGATGCATATGGGAAGTGTGCGTTCGTTCGTGTTCTGTACGAGGCCGGAAGGACGCAGCGGAAACGAGTTATAGTCGCCGTTAAAACGTTATCTCCAACATGTGCGTCAATATGTGTGCTTACACTCTGAGTTTTTATGTTTGCAGTACGAGCGCAGTTTGATGTGTGCCTTTCAGGAGACGCAAATACAACCTTGTAGCTGTCACAGATCAGCTAATTCACGGCGTACTTAAGAAATGTTAAAGAAAAATTAAAACCCGATGGAACGAGCTATCTGGGTACAAAACTGTAAAAGTTATAAACAAAACTGTAGATCATAAGTACTCAAAATTCCTATTGGCACTCGATAAAAGAAACTGTAGGATCATGAATACTAATTGTTCACTGTCTGGTGCCGACACACGCCAGAAGAATGAGGCTGATAGAAAGAGAAGACGGCAGGAAGTTTTTAGAGCAAGGCATCAGGGAACCAGTATGATACACTGTAAGAGGTATCGATATTGAGGCCACAGATTCTGTTGAAATTAATAGCAGTAACTGAGCTCCATCTGGTCATTCAGTCAAGATCTACGTGTACGTTACGGATTCGGATTTTTACTTGGTAAAAGAATATGAAGCCAAAGAGGATGGAGCCATGGAAAAGTTCAAACAGTCGTCGCATTCGCGACTTGGCTCCCGCGTCAATGTTCACAGTGTACAACATAATTTCGAAGTCGTAGATAATTTCGACTATCTTGGAACCAGCATTAACATCAAAACCAATGTAAGCCTCGAAATCCAAGGGAGAATAACTCTTGCAAACAGGTTATATTTCGAATTAAGTAAGTCCCTCTTTCGACGAGCAAAAACAAAAATCCATAAGTCACTCATCATCCCCGTCCTGATATAGCATCTGATAAGATGACAGCATCTGATAAGTCGACGTAACGTAGTTTTCGAGAGAAAGGTTCTACGGTAGATTGAATATATCTAGGCTTTTGTATTCATAAAACTCCTCAAAAACTCAAAGCAAGTATAGGTATAAGCGTCAGATATACTTGTAGTACTTCTAAGAGGTAGGTTCTGTAGGTTTTTTGGAGTGTTAAAGTTTCGATTTTTCAAAACTGACTATTCTAATGCTATCAGAACTTAATTTTGCTATGGATCATGTATGTATGTAGGATTTTATCACAGCGGAACCGAACTAACGATGACTAATCAAATGTTTAGTAATTATAATTTCTTCTGAAATTTGTTGTGCAATGAAAGTTTACAGTCTATCCGATTGAAAACTGCTTAAGCGGAATACGGCCGGTATTAGTAACCAAACAAGAGAAATTGATTTGGATTTAACTCTTGCGACATAGATTCCATATACTTTAATATATGTATAATATCGGAACTCCCCATCCGAGCTATTCTAAGCATATGAATATGA